ACTGTGGACGAATAAACAGCGGAAGCCTTTTGCTCATTTAATGGGTAGGAGCTCTCGCAAACACTCAAACCTTAAACTTGCTTCTGACACCATCATGTTTTTATTTTCATAGTCCAAACCTTTTTTTCTCAACTACTTGTTCATTTTTAAAACAGGTTGCAACAATCCAGAAAACTGGACGGACAACGTGGTGGAATGGGCCACGGTTGGTGAAGCTGAGACAAACAAAATAAAATATGAAAAGGGTAAATTGATAATCGAGGAGGATGGTATTTACTATCTTTACTCCAAGCTGGAGTTCAATGTTGCAAAGGAGTGTGATACTATCTTTCACAAAATGATGAAGAAAACTGATGCTTATGGCCACCCATTTGAACTCCTGAGGTCAAAAAGGTGGGTCATAGTTTTTACTTCCTTTGTCAAATTTCCTGCTGCTATAGATTTAATATAGATTGTTTTCCAAATTCAGCTCTGAGTGGATTTTATTTTGGAATATTTCTTACAGTAATCGCTGCTTTGACCCAAAACCTCCAAGTGAGAACATCTACAATGAGGAGCAGGACCTGAGGAGCAGTTTCCTGGCAGGAATTTACCACCTGCAGAAAGGAGACAAAATTTTCGTCACTCTGAGAAAAAAACAATACCTAAATCCAGGGTCTTATGAAAACTTTATGGGGGCCTTTATGATATCTCAGTGACAAGTATGGAACTGTTCCAGTCCAATCTGTGCTTTTGCACACNACCGAGACACACTCGTGTCGACGTTTCTTCATTGGTCATCATTAATGTGTCAAGTGGTTGCTATCTGGAGTTGTACTTCCTTATTCTTACACTTCTGAGTGCAAACAGATGGCACTAACTTCACTTTTAGTTTCATCATGTTGTTTGTTACAAATCTGTTCTCTTTTCCTCATGCTCTCTGCCACTCAGGTCATAGATTACTATTGAAAAGTTACAATTTTATAAACTAAAAACTCCATTTCTACACTTCACATGTAGGAACGGCCGTACTGGCTCCAGGCGATTGGAGACACTTTCTGATTTTACAACCAACCTCAGACGTGTTCATTTTAAGTTTCTCATGCTCTTTATGTCGTCCTTTACTTTCAGGCACTTTCTCCAACATCACGCCAAAACTCATCGGCTCCATCTGAACAGCAGGTAATATCCGTTAACAAGACTCATCCTTTGAATCACTTTCCTGTTGTTGAAAATGTAACTTTTAACCCTCTGTTTGACCTTTTTCAGGGTGGCACAGTTTCA